ATGCTGACTCTGTAAACCGCTTAGAGAGAGCTGACAGCCCTATGAAGCGGTATATAAGTCTAACTGCTATTGCTATTGCTACTTAAAAACTGTGAGCCCTGAGGCAAAAATCTTACAGGACAAGCCACACAATGGTGCTGGTGCCATCCAGAGGTCCCTTTTCCTCCTGATGTTTAGTAAGGCCATTAAAACAGAATTCATCCAACAGGCCTTGGAGCTGTTGTGCTATGACCATGTTCTCTCTGACAGTGGAAGATCTTTTGGTTTATTTTTATTTATTTATTTATTTTGGTTTGCAATTGCATTAATGATTGCTCCCAGTGCTATTTGGGGGTTGCATCATAGTATTGATTTGTTTTCTTTTTATTATATTGTTTAAACCCAATTTGCAGAGATTGGAATGTAACCACACAGAGAGCTGTTTACAACTGAAGCAGCCTGTAAGCCCTGTAAATTAAATGAATTAAATAAAGAAGAAAAGCTTCCTTTCTTTGGCAAACACTAATTATTAACTTCATTTTGTTACTTAAACTATAAAGCCTCAAACAATTTGGCACAACTGAACAAATAAAATATTAAAATTTTTGACCGCAAGAGGCAGGCTTTACAGATTGTTGTTGAGAGCTTTATAAATAGATTGAGATGATACTATACCTAGGCCTAAAAGCCAGGTTCATTGAGATCTTAATTTTTTTAAATTTGCTACTGAATTTTGAAGGCAAAATTTGATTTTGCTTTCAAAGAACATAATCTTTTCAAGATAGTCTGCAAAAGGAAGTATCTGTGTTAAAAAGCTGATACAGAATCTCAAATACAGATGTACTTTGGTTGCAGCAACTAGGAAATCATTTGTCTACATTTTAGTATACTATTTTTTAAAAGATGATTCATTTTTAAGGATTTTTTTCTCCAGATAACCTATCAAGATAAAGTCACATATATTCATATATTAAGATGCAAAATGGTCAAATCTGAGGCACAAATATTGTACAATTTTGTATTTTTAGGTCTCTTATTACAGCCTCTAGTAGAACAATATAGTTTTGTTTACATCACAGACTGTAACTAACATACGTAAATTTTTCTCAAACTTTTCAGAAATTGTACACTATCACATATGAGTTTAACATACATAGCATTTGAAACATTTACCATTTCATAATGTATAAAAATATCAGGATCTCCTTTAAACACAAATGTTTGCAGTCAGAAACTACAATTCCATTACATCTTAACTTAATCCACTAGTCATTTGTTTATAGTGAACTTTTTGACAGCTTTGATGGGAAAAGGAACTAAACACTGGGAGCCAAATAAGGTGAAAAGAGACACAACCAGGTTTAACACTGCAGCATTGTTAGATGGTATGCTATCCACAGATAATTTTCATATATAGAGGGATAGATATTAAATTTTGCAAACTACTAAAGTACAGGTGAGACGGAGTTGTATGCAAATGTTCTGGAAGATTTCAGGGCAATATTAATAGCAATAGCAATAGCAGTTANAGCAATGGGTGGAAACTAATCAAGGAGAGAAGCAACTTAGAACTGAGGAGAAATTTCCTGACAGAACAATTAATTAGTAGAACAGCTTGCCTCCAGAATTTGTGAATGCCCCAACACTGGAAGTCTTTAAGAAGATGTTGGATAGCCATTTGTCTGGAACGGTATAGGGCAGTGGTTCTCAACCTGTGGGTGGAGACCCCTTTGGGGGTCGAGTGACCCATTCACAGGGGTCACCTAAGACCATCGGAAAGCATATTTTCAATGGTGTTAGGAACAGAGACACCAATTTTATGATTGGGGGTCACCACAACATGAGGGACTATATTAAATGGTGACGGCATTGGGAAGGTTGAGAACCACTGGTATAGGGTTTTCTGCCTAGGCAGCGGGTTGGACTAGAAGACCTCCAAGGTCCCTTCCAACTCTGCTATTGTATCGTATTGTATTATTGTAAATCAGCAGAAGTGATTGGATTTATAAGTTAGGGTGCCATGCAAAGTTTAGTCTAGTTGAAAAGTTGCATTAGAGAGAACCAGTTAGGGTACCAGTTTATTAGAGGCACCAGGCTAGAAACCGGAAAACTTTGAATCCTAGTCGCACATTAAGCACAAAGCCAGTTGAGTGACTTTGGGCCAGTCATTCTCTCATAGCCTTAGGAAAGAAGCAATGGCAAATCACTTCTGAAAAATGTTGCCAAGAAAACTGCAGGCAGCCTTGCGCAGGTAGTCACCTGGAATCAAGACCAGCATAAAATATATTGAGTAAAAGTGGGTAAGAGTGTTAAGCAAAACCTACCATGTTTAGCCATTTTGTTGAACACATTGCACTTGAATCAGTTTGTACAAAATGTTAAACCCAAAACCACATTGTGAATCTGGATCCCAGCCATTATCTTGCAGACAAATGGTTATTCAATCTCTTCTTTAAAACTTCCAGTACTGGAGCATTTACAAATTCTGGAGGCAAGTTGTTCCACTGATTAATTGTTCTAAATTGTTCTGTTTCCTGAAGATAGCTTTATAGCAATTAAGAGTTAACATTAAGAGGGATGAGGCAGTAGCAGAGGAACTTGTGAATCTGTTTGCTTTGGTTCTTTAAAATGTGATTCTTATATACTTTTAATATTTTTTCAATTCTATTGTAAAGAACTATTGTTTTAAAAGGGTAATTTGAAATTCCAATCCCAGTAGTAACTATGCCGCCACCAACTGAGCTGTAAAGTATTCGTGGTAATTAAACAGATACAGCTTTCAGATCAACTTGTTATAAATTGAATGAAAGTTTTAACTAAAGGATTTGAAACCACATTACGAGCGCAGTGGTTAGACTGAAGTATTGCAAGCTAATTCTGCCGAATGCTAGGAGTTCAATCCTGACTGGCTCAAGGTTGACTCGGCCTTCCAGGCTTCCAAAGTCAGTAAAATGAGGAGCCAGATTGTTAGCGGCAGTATGCTGACTCTATAAACTGCTTAGAGAGGCCTGTAAAGCACTATGAAATGGTATATAAGTCTAAGTGCTTAGTGCTATATTAAGCAACACTATTAGAAAGGAGAAGCTAGAGTTCATACATACTTGATATCTTCTCATAAGAGCTTCATTCTTCTTTCTCAGAGCTAGTATTTTTTTATCCAGTTCAACATCTTTCTCTTCTTTTTTCTGCAACACTGCATCATCCATAGCAACATCCTAAAATACAAAGAGAATCTTTAGTGGTGTTCCACCAATGGCCAAAAATACTGACTATTATTTATCATTATCATTATATGACCAGTGTGATATCTGTCATTCTACTGAGACCATGTCAGTGACAAGTACTTGTTAGTACTTCCATAATTCATTCTGAACAAAATTAAACCTTGTTTTTAAAAACAAAAAAACCGTGTATAAAAGTATCATTATAGAAGAACTTTTCCATTGCTATTCCCCAGGAGCATTTTAACTACAAGTACCGGTAATCCTTGACTTAAGACCACAATTGAGCCTCCAATTTCTGTTGTTAAGTGAAACATTTGTTAAGTGAGTTTTGCCCCTTTTCACTACCTTTATTGTTACAATTGTTAAGTAAATCACTGCAGTTGATAAGTTAGGTCCATGATGGTGAACCTATGGCACGTGTGCCGCAGGTGGCACGCGGAGCCATTTGTCAGGGCATGCAAGGCATTGTGTAGGGCACGCTGACTTTGGCCTTCTTTTGAGGGCATTTTTGACCCTCTGGAGGCTTCAAGAAGCACAAAAAAACGACCCTACAGAAAAACGGGAAGTTCGGGAAGAGACTTCCAGTTTGCTCATAGGGCCAGTTTTAGCCCTATGGAACCTTCAGGAGGCTTCCGTGAAGGCTCCGGAGGGCAAAAACAAACCTGACAAGCAAACCAGAAGTGACTTCCGGTTTGCTCATAGGATCATTTTTTGCCCTCCAGAGCCTTCAGGGAAGCCTCCTGAAGGCCCCTGAAGGCTCCATAGGGCTAAAACCAGCCCTGCGAGCAAACTGGAAGTCCGTTCCCAAATTTCCAGTTTGCCCATAGGGCCGGTTTTTCGTGCTCTGGAGGCTTCAGGGAAGCTCTGAAGCCTCCAGAGGGCCTCCGGGGGGCGGGGGAGGCTGTTTTCACCCTCCCAAGGCTCCTATAAATCATCTGGAGCCTGGGCATGGCAAAAAAAGCACACCAAAAATGGGGGAGCGCTGGACATGTGCGCATGCACACTGGGGTCTTATGCATAGCATTATGGGTGTGGCTAGCCCGCACATGACCCCCCCTGCGCTTCCCCCACTTTTGGCACGCGAGCCAAAAAAGGTTTGTCATCACTGAGTTAGGTGAATCTGGCTTCCCCATTGACTTTGCTTGTCAAAAGGTCGCAAGAGATGATCGGATGACCTTGGGACCCAGCAACAGTAATAAATATGAACCAGTTGCAAAGCATCTGAATTTTGATCCCATGATCCCGGGGAGGCTTCAAAGGTCGTAACTGTGAAAAATGGTCATGTCACTTTTTTCAGTGCCATTGTAACTTTGAATGGACACTAAACAAACTGTTGTAAGTTAAGAACTACCCGCAATGATAGGATTAACTCCAACCGATGTAATTCTTTGACAGATCTGAATAAGTTATTAGCTTCTGAAGCAGTGGTGGGTTTCAATTTATTTTACTATCGGTTTGCTCGTGCGTGTGTGGGCGGAGCCTCCCACTGCCACCAGTGGCCAAAGGGTATTATGGATATGTTATAGGTTCTTCTTGGGGTGGCGCAGTGGTTAGGGTAAAGTACTGCAGGCCACTTCAGCTGACTGTTATCTGCAGTTCAGCGGTTCTAATCTCACCGGCTCAAGGTTGACTCAGCCTCCCATCCTTCTGAGGTGGGTGAAATAAGGACCCAGACTGTGGGGGTGATATGCTGACTCTGTAAACCGCTTAGAGAGAGCTGACAGCCCTATGAAGCGGTATATAAGTCTAACTGCTATTGCTATTGCTACTTAAAAACTGTGAGCCCTGAGGCAAAAATCTTACAGGACAAGCCACACAATGGTGCTGGTGCCATCCAGAGGTCCCTTTTCCTCCTGATG